ATTTCTTTGAGTGGGTCCATTGAACTGAGATGGCCACTGGAATAGTGAGGGGATATGGTTGCAGAGATGTCTGATGGACTGGACGGGGGGCTGATGAGGTGGAGCTAGTTAATAGAACACCTTTTAACAGACAGCTCCACAGGTGCAAATAGGTCTGCAGGGATAGTTGGAGAGGTGGCCAGCATCCCGTGTAGGGAACAAACAAAAAGAGCTAAAGGTAGGTATGTCTGAATCACTGAATACAGGCAATTCACATATTGCGCCACCAAGAGTTTGTCATAGAGAGGCCTTTTCACAGTGCATTATGAGATAAAGAGTTGACAAAATAATCTTGTTTACTGTCCTGTGCACGGAAAACTTTAATTTTTCTTCTAATATTTGTTTATCTTGGTAGAGAATTCAAAAGTGCTTATTGCAAACAGGTGTTAGAAAGCCAAAACGATGTTTTTTTGTGTGCCTGGAGCACAGAATGCCTGAATCAATCAAATTCCCCCAAATTACGTATAAAGTACGCTAAATCACAGCAGGGTGTCGACCGTAGACTTGAAAAGTGGCTTGTCTGTGCAAAACTCTTGGTGGTGCAGTGTATTGTGAATTGCCCCTGTTTACAATTACTAAATTAATCATTGGAAAGGGATTTTTAATACCAGAAACAATGTTTAAACGATACCCAGTTCCGGGGGAAGATTGTGAATGAGGCATCGATGATGTGAGAGGTGATTGATGGCGAGTTGGACTGTAAGGTGACGATGGTGAAGCTGGTTACCAACCACAGATTTACCAATGATTCCTACATTTCCAACTAATCATGGCTTATCAGACACCGTCTAACTGTTTAGATTTCCCTCTGATCATGGGCTTTGAGCCGCTGGTCAACCAGAGACTCCTACCACCTACCTTCCCTCGCTACTCCAAGATCATTGACCGTCCTGCTGCTGTCACGTACTTCGAGGGCCTGGTTGGGAGACTGAGGACGGTCTGTGAGGTCACCAACCTGAACTCCTTCCATGCTATTATGGTGAGCCACACATAAATTCTTGTCTGCCTTTTTGGATATCTAGTAGATGTTAACCCTACAAGGGCCAGCGGCCGATTTCACAAATCTTTGTGCAGTGCTGTAACTTTACTTAAGCCAAGTTTTATTGCGTAAGTTGAACAACTAATTATGATAAATTTCATGAAAGTTATGCACTGCATAAGTCACCAACTAATTATGGCGTAGCTTATGCAATCCCTTTCGGTGGGTTAGTTTGCACTGAACAAATCAGAAATGAACAATTCTGCTCACTTATCTTATTCCATTAAGGCTCATCTGTGCTCAACTTAACAAGGTTTATGTAAGACGGCTACAACTTTTGCTTTTCTAAGGTGTTTTGAAAAACATGTTTTTGGTGTGAGAGAACAACATTTTTCTGTCTGGTTCCAATGAAGAAAAGGTGGAATTTTTTCTCAGTGGTGGATGGAACTAATTTGACGACTGTTTAATGACTTTCAATGTCTCAATGTTTCAATGACTGAAAAACACTAGACATTGTACAAGCCACGATCATCCTCGCCAAAGGTGCTAAATGTACGTAAAAGGATTTGCAGCTCAGTGACTTTTCTTGAAATTGACTTTGACATTGTATTTATGACACTGAGGTGGTAAGTACCATCAGTATTCTCTGTCATTATCAGCACCTAAGGGTTACTTGTACCAGTATATAGAGGTCAAAGGTTAAGGGTTGAATCTGTTTCTTGATTGTCCTGACAGGATTTCATTGGTGAATTTAGCAAGCATTGCACCTGTGTTCTGTCCCGCTCGGTCCGCTATTGACAACTGAAAAAATGTTCAAGTCCAAGCAGCTCGGTCTTTTGTTAGAAGACCTCGCTCCTTTGTCCGATTTCGGGCCCCTGGCTACGAGTACAAACATAAGGTACCCAATACTAGGTCCCCCGGCACGAAGAGGTTAATAAACAAAGGTTACCAGCTCAAACTCTATGTGATTGCCATGCTCACCAAAAGACAGGTAAATACCGTTCCAAAACAACATACATCAAAAGACGTTTTGGCTGGTAACCTGACTGGTCAAGCAAAGTTTTTTCACACTTAAACAAATTTTTCGCTTTTGGAAGCTGGGGCTTTGCAGGGATCAGGTAAAGCTGAGTGTTGTCATGGTAACAGACCCATGCTCTTGAAAAGCTGTCTGGCATATACGTGTACCTGTAAGTTGAATGGGACCCCATGCCACGCAGTGCTTGTTGGATTCATTTAACAATTGTTACCTGCAGTGTAGGGGTCCATGGTGTTTTTTTGTACACCCAAGGGGGATGACCGAACTTGAGGCAAAGCCGAGGGTGCCATTTGCCACTGAGGGTGTACAGAACCTATGGACCCCGTCACAGCAGGTAACAATTGTTTTGTTATACCATGGTCATAGATTACACTGGAACAGTCTTACATATATGAATGATACATGCATATTTTGTTGCAACATAAACTAAAACTGGTCGACTGGTTGAATTTCTGGACACTGTTTACACAAAATTCTAGTGAAAAATATTGGCAAGCTTGAAGGGCAGACGAGCAGTGACAACCATTTGAGCG